GAAACAATCTAAAAAGCTTTTACTTGCCGTTAAAATTGTAGCTTCATTCACCCACAGTACAACTGAACAACAGAGTTTTAGTAGTCTTAACAGATACATTTTATATTATAAAATCAAGATAAACACAACTATTATCCATTTGGAAAGCACTCATGACACCTTCTTTTTGCACGTTTAGTTCAGAGAGACTGCTTTCTAATTATTAATGTTTGTCACCCTAATGCTATGGAAACTGTCTAATGTGAAGCCAGGCAGTATGGAGGACAGCTGGGATGAATGCAGCGGTCGCTCGGTGGACAGATGGCTGCTCTTGTCTCCTTCATTTTCCTCAGCTCTTCTCTGCAGGCCCACAGGACAAAATCAAATCCTTGATCTTCTCCTCTCTGCCAACATGGCTGCATCCTGCATGCCTCACACAGCAGCTGTTAGAATTTTTTTTTTCTCTCTCTCTCGCTCGGTTTCTGTTTTTCTCACACATAAACAGAAATTATGAAGGCATATGTTGTCCAACACACACACACGTACACACACTTCACACTGGGCTCTGGCTCTTGCCTATTCTGTCAGTAAACAGTCTCACTTATTAACTTTTCAAGTGCAAAAAATACAAAAATGACAGAGAAAGATGAAGCAGCTCTGCGTGTTTCTGCTGCAGGTGATTCATCTGTGGTTCGATGAGTTTGCTTTGGAGGACACTCAGCTCTGCACGGCAGATTTCATCACACTGCGTGACACTTTGGGAACTATCGGTAAATATTTGTTCATGCAGAGTTCTTGGTTTACAAAAAAAATCTTGAGCTATTTGGAAAGACTGACATCATGCGTTGCACTGTCCTACTTATTATTGGCAAAAATTCAAATCTGAGTTCAGTTTGAAATTCTGGAGCTAGGCACAGATTCAAAGAGGAAAATCACATAATTAAATTAGAAACAATAAGATATTCTTAATTAAAGTCTTGCTTTAAAAATAATATACAGTATTATAATGATCAGAATTCTCTTATTTCACTCCTACCAACTAACTTGTCAGTTCATAATGTATTCCAGACATCATTATCAAGAAATACTTTGTGTCACATCCATAGGTAAATACTGCGGGTACACCAAACCAAAGCCAGTGGTAACAGTTTCAAACCACCTGATTGTCTACTTCGACACAAATGACCAAAGAACAGACCAGGGGTTCAAAGCTCATTATAGAGCTGTGTCTCCTGAGCTCGCATCAGGTAAGATCATGTGTTCACATCTCTCACAACAATCACAAAGTGTTTTATTATTATTATTATTATTATTATTTTGCTTTTACAGTCATGCCCAAAGGTTTGTTATCTCTGTGTTTATAGATCTTTTTGACAGATGTATGTAAAAATGCAGAAAGTCTTCGTCAGTCTCAAAACTTTTGGTCTTAACTAAATCTCGTCGTTATTAACACGTCTTTTGTCATTTGGTTAGCACTAATGCCTCACAGCAAAATGGTTCTGGGTTCAGTTCCTGGTTTTGACCAGGGGTATTTTGTAGTTTGCGTGTTTTCTTCATGTTTGTGTGATTTTTTTTCTGGGTACTCTAGTTTCCTCCATCAGGCAAAGGAACATGCATGTTAGGCTGCCTTCAGGTCTCCCTTGCAAAACAGATCTGTGATCTCAATGGAAAAGGTTAAATAATAAAAATCTATATTTCTCATTAGCTCCTGTTCTGGGTTTCAGAGAGCTGATGCTTGTATGTGGTGGTCATTGGGTGGGATGGAGGACACACCACTGAAAGATCACCAGTCCATCACAGGGACACACAGAGACAGCCGTTCTCACTCACATCCACTCCAAGGCATATTTTAAAGCATCTTAATTAAAATATACTGTAAATAAGTCTTTAGCTTGTGAAACAAAACAGAAAATGTTCCAAGTTGAGATCATGACAGCATGGATGTGTTGTTTTTATAACTTGGGTTTGCTCTCTGTCACAGTCTAGTTATGCTTTTTAACATTTAATGATGCTACATTTTAATAACTTTTCTCCTGAATTCTAAGGGTTGTAAATAACACTAGTTAATTAAATCATTTTCACAAAGTGAGCAAACCATTCTCTGAAAACTGTACTTGAGTACCAAAACCAGAATGTCCATTTTAACCTTTGTAACTCAAATTATTTAAGATAAAGTGAAATTCAGAACGGAGCAACTAATTTGTTGAGTTAATTATTTTATGCTGATGTATTTCAGAGGATAGTTATCATAACGGCAGTTAAAAAGATAATTAGGCCTTTTTTAGTAGTTTTTTTAGTAGTTTTCTTTTATGTTTACCTCAGCATCCTGAAAGATCTTGTGATGAGTTATTGATTAGCATCAGCACTCATTAACCTCCAGTTATGATACTTTCTGATTTATGGCTCAAACACAATCAGCCTACTTCACTCCAGAGATGCTGAAACACCACAGCTGAGCGAGCTCAAGGTTCATGTGCGCGGTCAAAGTTCAGATACGGTTCTCCTTGGCGGTGTAATGAGGTGGTGAATCGCTGAAGAAGTCTCAGACCGATGTGACTCTGCTGCTTTGAGGGAAATGGATGCACAGAGGGGTCATACCAAGTCCAGGACTCTGAACACCCTGGAAATAATTCTGGTGTTTCTCTTTGTGGCAATGACTGGTACCTGCATCGGCCTGGTGGTCATCTACTTCACTGACAAGGCTGATTCTTCTTCTTACACACAAGGTGAGTGACTATAAATAGAAAATGCACTCGGGTTTCACTATCGGCCCATTTTGAAGCAGCAGGAGTTGTAGCGAGGTGCTGATCACTGGAGATAAATGAAATAATGGATATTACACAACTCAGTTTCATCTGCAGAATTTGGACTCAGACATTTTCCAGATTAGACTAATGACTGGCACACTGGAAGATCTCATATGTTTAGCATGTTTATAGTGTATCTACTCTACATCCATTAGTGTGAACATAATTACTTTATAGAAAATAATCAATAAATAAATTCAATTTCACAGTTTTATTTAATAAAAATGACATAAATAATTTTCCTGCTGTAAATTTTGAACTTTAAAAGTGTGTCCTATCATGAAGTCACTAAATTTTTTCAACAGAACTCCAGTTTCAATTCAGTTTCTCCTAAAATGCCTTCAAATTGAATTGGCAGCTAAATTAGTGAGTGTGAGCACATTTCTACTGCTATTAAGACAAAAATAATCTGTTTGGAGGAGGGCAGTGGTAACAATTTGTTTGCAGAATCACAGGTCATCTGTACCCCTGAAGTCTATCAAACAAATATACAGTTTTTATAAACTGTTTTTACATCAACAGCTACTGTAAAGGAACATAAACCTGAAATGGTTTTACACATGGTGAGTTTTTTTTAGCATTCTGCTAAAAAGAGAAAATGCATTATGTTGTTGTTAAACACAGCTGTGCAGCCAGAAGGTGCTCCACAGAAAGAACTGCTGCTGCAGGATGGCAGCTTATTATTTAATCAATGCTGTTACCGAGGCTTCTCAGGTGGTTTTAATTCTCTGAGTCCAAACACCATGAGATGGTTTTTAATCATGTGGACGTCATGGGAAACATTACCCTTGAGCTTATTCAGTGATGGTTTTAGTGCCCCGGCAAATCAGCTTTGTAATAATGTCGTCCGTCATGTGAATGAGGTGGCTCCGGTTCATCGATTTAAATATTCCCACAACTGTTGGTGACATTTGGCATTCACAGCTGTAGTTTTCTTTAGGGTGGTGCAGAAGTGATGGGGTCGCTTTTAAGAGTGATTCAGTTTATATATGTGACCAATGTAAGAGATGTGTACAAAACCAAGGTCATGGACTCCACCAGGGTTGTCCTTTGTCTCGGATCCTGTTTGTGGTGTTCATAAACAAGATTCCAAAGCATAGTCAAAGAAGAGGGTGTTGATTTGAAAGCCTTGAAGTACTGCCTCTACTTTTACAGATGATGCGGTTCTGATGGTGTCTTTAAGTCATGACCTTCTGCATGCACTGGGGCGGTTTGCAGCAGCAGCTGGAATGAGAGTCTGTAGTTCTTAGGCTGAGGACATGGTTCTTGTTTGGAAAACGATGGGATGCTCCCATGGGTCAAGGATGAGTCTCTGCATCAAGTGCAGGAGTTCAAGTATCTACAAGGAGTTTAGTTCAGATACGGATCAGGGCCTTGTCTTGTTCTCAGTAATGATGTTCCAGTTTGTCATGGCAAAAACCTAAATCTGTAAGATTGTGTGTCTAAGCTGATAGGTAAGAAGGAAAAAGTCAGGTCAGAGGCTTTTAAATACCGTATGTTTTTACCTACAAATGAATAAGAGATATTTGATCGTGTTATTTTACACTTTGTAAAACCTTGGCTCAGTTATGTCCTTTGTCTTTAATTTTCAGGGACACACTCAGGGTGCGGCGGTCCCCAGGAGATGACCGGAGATTCGGGCACCTTCACCAGCTGGAACTACCCCAGCAGTTATGACAACGGCAAAAGCTGCAGGTGGAGCATCACTGTGGACCCGGACAAGGTGGCAGGAATAAGAATTATTTTAGTAAAGAAAAAAATTGCAGTTACAGAAAATTTTCACCTGCTGTTACATAAAGATAGAGATATTTTTTAAAGTATGTTAAACAGGATTAGAGAAGAACATCTGTCTTTCATGCCAGCGTTTTAGATCATTTTATATCAAGAAATAAAGTTGTAGCCATTTTGGTCAAACCTTGAAAGAAATAATGAGAAATCTCCCGTCGCTCAGTTGTGTTGCGGAAAAACTCAGCGACCATGACACCAGTTTGTAGCACAAACATGACTGCACTATGTTTGTGTGTTTCAAAGTCAACAGGCTGTGGCAGCCATCTTGAATCAGTCTGCTCAACACGTTAATCAGTTGTAGATTATTTACGGATTAATTTCTGAGTTTCATTAATATTAATTCAGAGGTTCAGAAAATATTTTTTGCTAACAGACCCGCACACACATTTGTTATTTGCACTTTTTACTCCAAAATGTATCTGAAAACGTGTGCAAAAGTCAAAAGAATGACTGGTAATATAGAAATATCAAAAAGGGGATGATTCATAAAAGATGCAAAAGAATGTTAGAAAATACATTTGAAACAATCTAAAAAGCTTTTACTTGCCGTTAAAATTGTAGCTTCATTCACCCACAGTACAACTGAACAACAGAGTTTTAGTAGTCTTAACAGAT